ACCTAAAAACCCAAAACCCGTAAACACTTGACCCTAAACCCCAAACCCAGATTAAAACAAGAACAAAAACACAAAACCTAAAAACCCAAAACCCTACTGGGCCCACAGCACAGCAGGTTTTCAACTCGTCACGGGCTGAGGCCAGTCGGGGTCGCCAAGCTGTGAAGAGGAGGAGATCGGGACAGAAGACACTTCTGATGTGAGCGAGGACAGCCAGACGGCCCAAAAATGCGTTTAGGGTTTAGGGTTTAGGGTTTAGGGTTTAGGGTTCAGGGTTCAGGGTTCAGGGTTCAGGGCCCAGGGTCCCGGGTCCTCAGGATTCAGGGTTCAGGTCCAGGGTTCAGGGTTCAAGATTCAGCCCACACTCGCCTTAACGCCCCCCCCAAAACTAAACCCTAAACCGCCAGCCAACCAACCTATATAAACAAGCAGAAATGCAACTTCCTTTTTGCCCAGTGCAGGACTTCCTGCGCAGCCTTTGTCATGGAGCAAACCTGGAAGACGTGGAGGCCTTGTCTTGAACACAGGGTTTAGGGTGTAGGGTTTAGTTTTTTCAGGTTTAGGGCTCAGTGTTTGCAAGGTTTAGGGCTTAGAAGGCTTGGGGAACCATGACAAACTAGCGGCAAGGCTTTCTGCTAGGTCATTTTAGCCGCAAAGCTTCAACACCCGCTTACCACCCCACTGCCAACCAACCATGGAGGTGCTTTTGAGCACGACTCTTGTGCCTAAACCCTAAACCCTAAACCCCAAGCCCTAAACCCTAAGCCCTGCAGCACTGCAGCCCTGCAGCCCTGACATCCGAGCAGAGGCCTCATGCCCAAAGCTAGGCTTGAGGCTTTGGTACCCTAAACCTGAAAGGGACCCCTAGAAGGGCCCCTTTATCTTATTCCCCGAAGCAACCCTATACATACATATATATATAGATATATATATATATATATTTAAAGATATTCTTATATATATATATATGCATATATAGAGACACCTTACATAGCCCCTGTATACCCAAGAAGCCCCTGCATTACGCCTAAGGTCACTT